CTGGCGCGCGTGGGCGGGCGGGCAGTGTCGCGGGGAGAGCGTCCCCGCGGCCGCAGACGGACTTCCTGTTTTCTGGGCTGGCCCCGCGGGGGTCCGCCAGCCCTCGGGAGGCGCCCGGGGGACGGGCGCGGGGCTGCGCAGCGGCGGCGTTTGGGCCTCGCCGGCCCCGCCGCGCTCACCGCCCCGCGCGTGGTCGGGGACCTCCCGGGACGCCTGTTCTCGGCGGGTCCCTGGTGGGGGGTGGGCGCTGCGGCGCCGCTGCCGGGGAGCCAGCCCCCTCGCCGGCCCCTGCCGGCCCTGTAACCCCGGGCCGCTCTCCCAAGCAGGCCTCCGCTTCCTCGGCGGTGAGACGGGTCAGAGCAGTGCGCACCCCGAGGCTGGGAGCCCCGGGTGGGGTGCGGGCAACGTAACGCCCCGCGTTGCCCCCCGCGCTCAGCGTTAGGCGTTTTCTGGATGGGGCGCAGGGCGCGGGCCCCGCACGCCGCGAATGCTTAGGGACCTGAATGCGGCAGGATTTTGCGGACGAACGTGGGTTGGAGACGAGCTCCTGCCCGGGAGAGTCGCTCAGGTAGAGCTCAGGTGAGACGGGGGACTCACTGCCTGCGGGGGAGCGTGAGAGCCACTCGTCCTCGGCCGTTCGTGCTTTACGAAGGTGGTGACGGCACCGTGTTCACCGGAACAGCCCTTTCGGCGTTTCAGGGTTACCTGGAAAATCATTATACTTTTTTTTTTTTTAAGGGGGGGTGTGACGTTTGCTCATGGATGAAAGGTGGCTTCTGATTCACCCAGCACTCCACACATCTTAAAATAGCACCATTGTGGAGTCTCCCGAGGCGGCCTCTCCACGCGAGCAGGGCTTGTGTGGACCTGCCCTCAGGCAGCCAGCTTACTGCCATCCGGAAGACCGGCTCGCTTTTTGTGTGCTTGACATTTTCGTCTTAATGTTTCATTTTTTGAATGCCACAATCAGGAAAAGTTTAAATGTCAATGCTATTTGGACGTATTCTTGTCACTGTTCTGTACTTGAAATAACAAAAAAAACCCCAGTCCCCCCTTTCCATAGTGGCAATTTAAGTGGGCACGTGGGAAACGATGCCTGCGACCTGGGGAAGGAACGAATCTCTGCAGCGTTTTGTGAAAACTGAAGCATGTAAGAATATTAAATAGCGTTCGTTAACGTAATAAATTAGTCTACTTTCCAGAGCTTCACTTCTCAGTTTTAAAATTTCATATGAACTGAAATTTTTTTTTGCTTAACTCACTTAATCCACATGTTTACATGTTACTGAAACCTTAGCTGGTCTGTACAGTGGGGATATTAGTATCCATTTGCAGAGTCATTAAGGTTTTGCCTATTTGTCAAATATTTAGTAAGAGTCTAGTATGTGATAGTGTTTAAGAAATGGTAGCTTGTGTTATCTGCAGGTGAATAACTGTAGAACCAAGACACCTGTAATAATAGAAACAGCCATTAATGCACACTAATTATTTTACTGATGAAGAACCCAGGTTCACTGCATTGTCTAAAATCCCATCAATCAGGATTTGAACGTGGCCTTGCCCTAAAGGTTTCCCTGAAGCAGTGCACCCTGCCTTTTGGGCTGTCCCTGAAGATGGAGACAATGCTGTTCCATGTAATCCAAGAGAGGATGATAAGTGGCATTTATGTTTGTTTCAGGTTTATGTGCTTATGATATTAGGCGTCATGGACTTAATTGGAAAGCGGAAGTGAAGCATCTAAGTATGAGGGTGTTGTGGGTGACTTAAATTAACAACAATAATGTCATTCTTCAGTGTTTTCAAAGTGCTTTATAATTTTGGTTGATGGTCCCAACATCCCAGGGTGTTAGTTATTGCTATTTACAGATGTGGAAGTTAAAAAGTTAAATTACTCTTCAAAGCCATGTTACTAGTAATGAAATTTAAGTTGTATGTGTATTTTTTAATTTTCTTTTTTGCATGTCATTTCACACTGTTAAAAAGTTTGGTAATCTATTTTAATTTTTAAAACATGTAATCATATTGTGAGCACTTTCCCATGTCATTGAAAATTCTTCAACATGATTTTTCATGGCTTTATAGTATATATATTATAAAGTGAGAAATTTCTTGAAGGTGAGAAATTTCTGAAAGGTTCCAATTTAATTTTAACCAGCAGGATATGAAAGTGCTTGTCTCACTCTATCCTTTTTATCATTGACTATTATTTTAAAAATCTTTTTTTGATCTGGTAAAAAGTGGTATCCCAACTTTTACAAAATTGAGGTATTAACTTACATACTATAATAAAATGCACAGATCTTAATTGTTAGGTGTGATGAATTTTGTAGTTGTACACACACAAGTAACTATCACTCAACACAAGGATAGAGCGCCCCGGAAAGTTCTTTAGCTCCTCCCCAGGACTCCCCACCTCCCATCTGATTTGTGTCATTGTAGATTCGGTTTGCCTTTTGGACTGAATGAAATGGAGTCACACAGCTCCTGGTCTTCTATGTCATTTTGCTCAGTATATTTTCGAGACTCATCATATTGTTGCAAGTATCCATAGTTGGGTTTTTTTTATTCCATTGTATGAATACACAACAGTTTCTCCAGGATTTGCCCATTATGTCCGAAGCTGCTGTGAACATTCTTGCACAGGTCCCTGGGGGGCCGTTTACCTTCTCACCATGCCTTAGGCTTTGGGGCTCCCCTTCATTCTCTGCAGAGGCTCTGCGTGATGAGGCTGGAGTGGGCAAAGGCTCACGCCGGAGGGCTTTGAAGGGCCAGGTGGATTACCTCTGACCTGTATCCCATCAGCCAAAACTCGGACCCCAGGCCGCAAACAGCTGCAAGGAAGACTGGGAAACGTAGACTAGCTGTGTGCGGACGGGAAGAGCAGACAGTGCTGGAAACATGCTAGCCTCTGCCGTAGACGCTGAGGCCCTCCTCACGCACTGAAGCTTCTGCGTTCTGGAGACAATGAGAACACGTCGATTGGGGTCCGCTTAGGTGCGTCTTCCCTTAGAGCCGCCTGCTTTCCTCTGTGTGCCCCTGGTGGCCCTCCCTTCGCGTCAGTGGTGACTCTGACCCCTGTCCTCCATTTTTCTTTGTTTCAGAAAGAGACCTTGTTTCCTACCTGGGAAAACAGGACTTGCATCATCTCCTGAGCGCTCCTCCCACTTGCCCTCCCCAACACCTGCACACTTACCTGTGGCTTTGCCCCATCCTGATTCCTTTGCTCCTGATCCGCAGGGCACAGTCCCTCTTCTCAAGGTGACGTCTTGGTTCTCATTTTCCCCTCCTGCCACTGAGACCTTGAATCCTCAGCTGCCTCTCGTGTCTTCTTCAGCCTCTCCCTGTCCATGTTTACTGTCCTCACAAAGTAAACTGGCGGGGTTTTGGGGTACTAAGAAAAACCCGTTCCACGACCCTGTCTTTGCCTCTGCTTAGTCCCCTCCCTGTTTACAGCCAAATCTCTGGAAGAGTAGATTACTAGCGGCCTCTGCTTCCTCACCTTCCGTTCAGTCCTTCACACCCTTCAGTGTGACTCGTCCTGTTACCCCTGGAATTCCTCTCACCACCGCCAGCTGTCCTCTCCTGCTGCGTTGGGGTGCCACTCCTTCCTTCTTGACTTCTGTGAGGCCCTCTATCTTGCTGTGCTGCTTCGGCCCCTTCTCTGGTCCACCGTCTGGTCTCCTTTTCCTGTAACTCAGGCCTTGAGGCTCTGACCTCCTCCGCTTTATCTTGCTGCGTTGCGGAGTGAGCTCGCTGCCAGCGTAGACGATTCTGATTCCCACGTCTGCAGGTCACAGGCAGACTTCTTTCCTGAGCTCCACACCACTAACAGCCCACTAGACTGCCTTTCCTCTCGGGTGGCAGCTTCTGTACTGTGATTAGCCATCAGTCCTGAGCCTGGAGCTTGGCGTCTCTAGACTGTGCCTCCCGTGTTCCCGAGTCCAGCCCTCGTACCTCCGGAACCCCCACTGTCTCCCTTTGCGTCCGCTGTCCCGGCGCTGGGCTGGGCGGTAGCTCCTCTCTCACCTGTACTGTCCTGGTTTTAACGTGTGTGAGTCCTCTCCTTGCCCACAGGTTCGTTGTCCTTGGTTCCTCTCTCCATGTGACATTTTAAAACGTTTTCTTCCTGATTTTTCACATTTTTTTTGGTTGGGGGATTATATTTGAACTTGGAAATCTATGAAACTGAAGGGTTTTCCAGTTGGATATTAGGATAGACTTAAAGATATCTTTGCCAAGATAATTTTATTTGAAAATTGGTGGTAGATGTACACAAATTCCTAAGAAGTTCACCAATAATTTTATTTTATTTTATTTATTTATTTTTTTAATTGGGGAATTGGGGAGATGGGAACAGTGCTGGGGAATTGGGGGAAGGGGAACAGACAAGTTGCTGTCCTTTTGTTCTTCAGTCTAGTTGTGGAGNCAGCGACTCACGGCAGCCCAGCTCCAGGTTGAGCTGTTGTTCAGCATCTTAGCTGTAGAGGGCAGTGTCACTGGCCCTCATATGTGGGATCCGAACTGAGGCCCTCTGGGGTCCCAGGCCAGTTCTTAACCATCGCGCCACTCGGCCAGCCCAGTACTACTAGATCTTTGAAACTCCGTGAGCCCACTTCTCCACCAGCTGCACGTGCTGAGCGCGTATTGCACACTGACTCTGCCAGGCTCTCCTGCAGGCACTGGGGTAGGCGCAGCTCCTGTCTCCATGAGAACTGAGCTGGTGGGGGAGACGAGCACAGCTCTAATCCTGTGAGATGTGCGCGTGGGAGAAGCGGCACAGGCGCCCTGAACATGATGGAAGGCTCCATGGAGTCAGCTCAGAAGCCCAGGGCTGCCCCGGAGGAGGCCCTCGCGTCCGGGTGGGAGCACGGCTTTCAGTGATGTGGGGCCTCCCGAAAGCAGACGGATGCTGAGCTCTGGGGCCGTGGAGATGGAGATACTCAGGGCATGGAGACAACTCAGGCTGGAGCGTGTGTGTGTGGGGTGTGGGAAGAGTGGGAGGCCACCGCCTGAAGTCAACATTGGGGGGAGACCAAGGGGAGCCAGAAAGGGCTCAAGGTTAGAGGGGTGTGGGGACCTGGAGGCGCTAGCGAGGGAGGTGCAGGGATCCTGGAGCCAGGCCGTGGAGCCAGAAGCGGCGCACCCGCCCAGGGGGTGCTGCTCCGAGGTCACAACGGCTGGTGGGTGGCACCTCTGGGCACAGGAGGCGGGACACGCGGTGGCTCGGGTTCCGGTCATTCAGGTCCGAATTCGAAGCTCCTTGTCAGTGTTGAGGTTCCGAAATGGCGCAACCTCTCTTTCCCTGACTTCCCATCCATCTCCACTTTAGTGTAATTTCATTTTAGGTTAAATGTTTAGGTTTTGTTATGTACAAACCTGACTTCATTTACACTCACATCACACGCACACCCTTCTCCCAGCTGCAGAGGGAGCTGCAGGGAAGGTACGGAGCAGAAAGCCCCGGAGGCAGGACAGTCCTGGCAGTCTGGGCCCGGGTTCCTCAGGAGCAGGACGCTCCCACCCCAAGCGGCCCGAAGCATGTCCCGGGGTGTCCCCGACTTGGCTAGCGCAGACGCAGG